GTGGGTGGCTTCTGGGAGCTTTTAATGGTCCTCTCTAGAGACCTGGGCAGCCTGCAGATTATGGCTTCCTCAACACAAAGGAGCCACGATCAGTATCGGGGGTTGCGGGGAGGATTGAAAAGGGTTTATGAGATTTTGGGTTGCAGGAGCTTTGGAAAAGATTCAGAATCAGTACTTTGACCCTTGCAAGGAAACAGCACCCCTGGGCTATTTATTAAAGCAGCCAGACATGTTTGATTCTCCTGCATTAGCCTGAAACACGGTGTGGCTCTTTTAACAGTCAGAGTGGATTCCTTGAAGCAGCAGCATCTTTAGTTCTTCATGCTTACAGGGAAGGGTGGAAAATGTCAGGCTGCTTAAACAGTTAGCATGGAGGCTGTGACCTCATGTGAGATCAGAAGCACTTCTTCCAAATAAATTTCAAAGCTTGCGCAGGCTGAGTGAATCATGAGCCTGAAAAGGTTGCTCAGTTGGTTCTTGGCAGAAGACCTGAGGAAATGCTCCCTGGATTTATAGGGTTTGGACTTTGCAAAGAGTTTGCTCCTCAATTGCTTTTCTACTTCAACACTACTTTTATCGATCACCTATGCAGTCTGTCAAATTCACTGCCTGACTATAAGTTGGTGAGAGACCAAGTTGTTGGGAGTAGAAGAATCAAGTCCTCTTGGCCAAAGCAAAAGGTGCCCGGTTGCTACACAAGATCCTCCCCTTTTGTACATGCATGTGATATCATGATGCTTGCACAGAAAGAGCAGAGCTTCACCACACTTCCCTTCCATGTTCCCCAGGGGATCCCCTTGACTCTACCAGTTCAGGATTGAAACACGGCAGCCTCTTGCTCTGTGTGATCCCCTGGATTAATGCTCCAGGTGGAGTCCCTGTTCACATCTTGGCCCTGCCAGAAACTCACTGAAGGCAAAGCCAAACACTCTTCACTCCCAACCCCATTCTTCCCACCTGGAAATGGAAGCTAATGAGACTGAGGGGCAGAATTGCTGGGAGGGTGTGAAGCAGCAGGAAGAGTTGTAAGGAGCAGGCAAACTTAGGTGTTGCTGAAAAAGCCGTGAGTCTTCCAGTCCTGGAGGGGGTGCTTGGAAGCTGATCTCCTTCCAGAGAGGAGGCCTTAGGTTTGACCTATTGGGAATCAAGACTCAAAGCAGACCTGCAGCTGAAGCTCTTTTTCTTCTTTCTCCTCTTCCTCCTTACAGCAAATGTCATTCTGGATCCAGACACAGCTCACCCCTGCCTCACCATCTCCAAGGATCATAAAAGCATCGAAGTTAGAGAAGACTTGGGAGATCCATCCCTTCCCAAAAACCCTGAGAGATTTGAAAACTGTCAATACGTCCTTGGCTGTCAGGGGTTCTCAACAGGGAGGTATTTCTGGGAAGTCAATGTAGGAGATAAGGAAGTATGGGCTGTAGGGGTTGTCAGAAAGTCAGTGGAAAGAAAGTATTGGACCGATATTAGTCCTGACGCAGGCATCTGGGAGATTCAGAAAGTGGAGGGGAGATACACAGCCAGTTTTTCCAACAAAAGTCTCGATCTACCCCAGAATGCCAGGAGGATCCGAGTCTCTCTCAACTGTGAAGGGGGACAGGTGACCTTTTTTAATGCAGAGACCGCAGCCCTGCTCTACAGATTATCGGAAGCTCTCTTTGCTGGAGAGACCCTTCTGCCCTCCTTCTATCTGGGTGACAATGCCTCCCTGACACTCTCCCCCTAAAAATGGGGACATACATGGAGAAAACTTTGGAAAAATTTTCTATTTGCCAAGCAGTGATCTCTGAAAGCCTATAGAGCAAATTTGCACAGAAATAAATACTGCCCCCCATGGAAAATTGGCTGGAGGGAGGAAGGATCTCCCCTCCTACATGGAACCTTGTTAACAGTCTGTCTCAGGAGGACCAGGTGGATTACCTGCATCTTCTTATAAATGCTTTGAAGATGAACTGATACAACCTTTGCAAAAAATTATGAACTTTATTTTGGAAAAGGGATGAATACCAGAAAATTGGAAAGGAGCAAATATTGCTTTAATTCATAAAGAAGGACATGACTCTATACCAAAAATTGATCAGCTAATTTTTTTACTGAACAATGACTATAAAATATTTACTGTGGTTTTAGCTGAAAGAATAAGAGGTGTATTGCAGGACTTTATACATGAAAATCAGTGTGGAGTTCTACTTAAAAGAGAGTTGAGGGACAATATAAGAAATAGACAATGTAAGAAATATTTTACTAGAATATTTGGAAAAACATAATGGAAAACTAGCTGCATTGGTATTTCCTGATGTGGAGAAAGCATTTGAGAATTGGAACTGAATTTTTTTTGTTTAAAATTTTGGAAAAAATGGATTGGAGATAACTTTATTAAATGGGTAAAAGTGATATATACGTCATAAACAGCACAAATTCTAGTCAACCGAGTTCAGAGGACACCCAGCAGAAATGCCTTCTCTATGGACTTCTCCATCTAATGGCCGTGCCTTCTCCTTCATCGGCTTCTTTTTAATTTTATTATGCTAAACTACTTATCAAAAAGAAAATATAAATGTACGTAGCATTAATAAATGTTAACATTAGTGATCAAAATCAGCAGTGAGAACCATGCACAAAATGGAGCAAGTGAATTTTTTCTTTTTATCTTGAAATACCAAGAACAGGAGTCATTCAGTGAAGCTGAATTTTCTACTTCTAACTAATACCTTGAGCGAAACGAGACAAGGCGGTTGATATTGCTGTAGGTTGGATTTGAAATTGTTGCTCTATGATAAAAGGTTTTAAATCACTGAAGATTCCACATGATTCTTAGAGATATAAAATGAATTATTTATATCCTGCCTGCCTCCGTAGCACCTGCCCACGACACCAGCCCATAGGTCTTGCATCCTGACCTGCTTGCCTGGGACTCCCACCTCTTCCCACATTGTGGTCATGTGAGGTCCTCGTTTAACAACCCACGTGGTCCTGGGGTTACGACATCAACTAGGACTGCCAGGATTGCCATCACTAAGCGGTGCAGTCAGATGACAGTGTGCTTTACAACCACATTACTTAGCGATGGAAATGCCAGTCCCTATTGCTGTCATAACTTGAGGACTACCTGTAAAAATCACAAATAAAATACTGGCATTTATGTTGAGAAGTTTCCTCTTACTGAAATTCTCTTTTCCTCAACTGTATCAGTTCAAACACAGCGTTGTGTTCTCATTATCTGTGTAGCTCTTCTTCCAAGGAATTAAACGTTGGCAGTGGGGCAGGGATCATTGGGACCCATCATCTCTCACTGCAGGCTCTTGGAGAGTATCTAAGAGAGGTCCCCATGCCACAAATGGTTGAGATTGTGCTTTAAGAGCATGTGAAGTTGCTGGTTGATTCTGGATTAAGCCAGTGTTAGCTTCTGATGAATACCCATGATCATGAATGCATTGACATGACTCTATTGACTCAAACACCAAAAAGTCTGAAAGACTTACTATATGTGATTATTACTGGTCTTTTGTATGCTTACAAGGAGAGAGCTTTTAGGTTTCATTTCTGAGAAAAAACTTAGAAGCTAAAATGCAAAATAGACCACTTCGTTTATGCTTAAAATATATAGTTTATTATTACTGGCACTCTTAATGCTTTTGCTGATTAGATTGATTGTCGAATATTTTTTATAATTCAGTTATTGTTTAGGGATGAGATGAAAGACTTACTATATGTGATTATTACTGGTCTTTTGTATGCTTACAAGGAGAGAGCTTTTAGGTTTCATGTCTGAGAAAAAACTTAGAAGCTAAAATGCAAAATAGACCACTTCGTTTATGCTTAAAATATATAGTTTATTATTACTGGCACTCTTAATGCTTTTGCTGATTAGATTGATTGTCGAATATTTTTTATAATTCAGTTATTGTTTAGGGATGAGAAAGGGGATGAAGAGGGCTTTTTAAAAATAATATTCGAGAAGGTGTTAAATTACTGATAATACATATACTTCTTTGGATGTTGGGGAAGTCATCTTTTATATCTCTTTCTCTTTCTTTTTGTTTGTAGGTTTTTTAGTTTTGTATTGGTTTTTATATATATAAACTTTAATTAAAATCTTAAAAAAAGACTTACTATTGTGTCAGCTTTTGAGGATTGTAGTCAACTCCAGCTGAGTCTTTCAAGCACTGAACTAAAAGAATTTGTGAGGGAAGTTTGCCTACGCTGTCCCACTGCCTCCACACCCGATTGACTGGAGGTGATGGGAAACTTCCCCTCCTGAATTGTTCTGGGTCCAGGAGTAAGAAAAATCCTCTCTGCTCAGCCTCTTGGAACATTTCCTGCTGGATGTTCCCCACCCAAAAGTGTATTTAGGAAGGCTCTTATTGGACAATTGCCTTGCCTGTTTCACAGACTGGTACCCGGCATGCAGGTGGCCAGTCGATCAGTATAAACCAACCCTTTGTAAAGCCAGCAAAACCCTGACTGGATTTGCTTATCTCTGATTTGTTGAATAAATCATAACTGCTTAGGTTCATGCATCATGCTAAGTGATGAACCGTGGTTTTACAGACCCCACTCAGACAACGTACCCAGCCATCACCAACCAAGTCAGACGACAGCTTTGCCCAAGGTGCGATCCCACCCACAGATATTTCAGTCAAGCTGTTCTTTGGCCTTTCTGTATTTTAACTGGCCTTTCTGTAATTTAATGGTAAAGCAAAAACAGTCAAATTGGTCCTGCTTTTCTTCTCTAATGCCCTTGCATGGAAAAGGATACAGCTCACCGGTTTAGTGAAAAATTGGCTACCGTTGAAGGAGAAGGTGAACAATGGCAATCCTGGTTTAGCTCTTCCTTTTGCCACATGAAAGACTCCCAACATTTTGGGATAGCTGCAGCTTTACCCTTCCAGCTAGCACAGAAATGCTGGAAAAATCTGTGATTGACAGCCTCCCCCCCAATCACAAGGCAGGAGCATGGCTGGAAAGATAACGTTGGCTTGGGGATTAAATCAGAAATGGGCAAAGTGATGTCCTTCAGCTGTTTTGGAATACAGCTCCCATAATCCCTGTCCATTGATCGTTACACCTTAGGCCAGTGCTTCTCCACCTCAGCAACTTGAAGATGTGTGGGCTTCGACCCCCAGAATTCCCGAGCCAACAATTCCCAAATCTTCAAGTTGCTGAGGTTAAGGAAGACTACCTTAGGCTGACGGGAAGGAGAACTGAAAACATCTGGAGAACACCTGGTTGTCTCCTCTGGTCTAAATCTTAAGTCTCCCACTGAAGCTTATTTCACCTGTTGCACTTAGCTATAGATTAGCCATGATTTTCCAAATGCACCAGAAAAAGCTGCCTTCACATAGCATACTAAGCCAAAATCAAACTAGTGACGTTCTAGCTAACCACAGAGCAGGCTTGAGTTAGTGAAGTGTGTGAACTGCCACTGAGGACGTTCACTGGAACCACAAAGCACACGCTGGGTGAAATAGCTCTTCTGACTAGGAACCCAAAGCAACCTTCACACGCAAG